GAGAAATCACCCCCCAGGGGGGATGGTCACGCCGCAATCCCTTCTCCTCCATTCTCCTCTCGGGATCTTGGGCACGCACGCACACGCACCCGGCATGAGTTTTAAGCCACCGGGTCCGGGACGCGGGACGCGAACCGCGGTCGACTACGTTGGGAGTCCAGTGACATAGCCATTACGCTAACTGCTGGTTCCCGAGAGGTTTTTGATATAGGGTGCATGCGCTCACCAGAAAGAGAGAGAGAGACAGAGAAACAGAAAGCAAGAAGTCACCCCCTGGGGGACACGGCTACACCGTAATCCTTTCTCCATTCTCCTCTCGGAATATTGGGCATGAGTTTAAGCCACCTGGTCCGGAACTTGAGCCTTGGTCGACTACATGGGAGCCCAATAACATAGCCATTCTTAGGCCTATTGGTTCCTATTTATTTCATTTTTATTTATTATTATTATTTTTTTAATTTGACCAGAGAGAGAGGAAGGGAAAGTGAGAAAACAAGTGGCCACCCACGTGGGAGTGCAGGGTGTTAACTGCCACACCACCTGCCAGCGCTGTGACTAAACGGTTTTGATATCAGAACCTAAGAGAGATTCAGCATTTGGAAATCACCAGAGTCAGCCCTTGGTGGGCCCCAGCACCTGAGCCGCCACGCCCCCTGCCGGCCCCACCCTTTGTCTGTTTAGACACACTGGAGTCGTTTTCTGGGACCAGCAAGTGGCGTAATGGCTATGTCACTGGACTCCCATGCCTTGACCACGGTTCGAGTCCCGGACCCGGTGGCTTAAACTCAAACTGGCTCTGTGCCCAGGATCCCGAGAGGAGAATGGAGAGAAGGGATTGCGGCGTGGCCATCCCCCCTGGGGGGTGATTTCTTGCTTTCTGTCTCTCTGTCTGTCTCCCTCATTCTGGCGAGTGCACGCGCCCTATAGCGAAAACCTCTCCAAAAAAGAAAAAGGAGTCGTTTTCTTTCTTCCTGAGCGTAGTGTATGATGTTAATGTAGTTTCCTGACTGTAGCTGTGATGTGTCCCCCAAGTTCTGTCTGGACACTTTTTAAACATTGTAATTAGGGCCTGGAGGTAAACCCGGACGTTCGTGACTTTTACTGTGTTCAGGATCTCAGGTGAGACAAGCTTTTCTAATGAGGGAAACCTTATCCCGTAAAAATTCTCTTTTTTAATATTTATTTTTATGTTGTATTTGTTATCACCGTCATCATCATCATTACACAGTTTGACCAGAGAGAGACAGAGAGAGTGAAAGGCAAAGAGGGAAAGTAAGCAGCCAGGCCTGGGACTCGACCCGTCCTTGGCCATGTGGGAGCCCAGTGCCTTAACCACCGTGCCACCTGCTGGCCCCCTTGTCCACTAAAGATTCAGTAGTACTTTTCATCCTATTTGGCCCCATGGCTCGGTAACTGCCCCTCTCCGGGGCTGCAGAGCACCCAAGGCGAGTGGCAGTGAGGGGTGAGCCTGGAGGAGGGCCCTGCGTGGCCAGGCCACAGGGGGCGCTCACTTGCTTTCGCTGGCAAGTGCATGCCCCTGTGGGCAGTAACAAATAAGTAAAGGAATAATTTAAAGAAGTCCTAACGGTCGATGTAGGTTTTTATCGTGGGTACTAATCTTACTGTGCTTGATTTTCTTTCAGATGACATTAAAGTATCCGTAAACGACTTCGTCATAAAGGCAGTAGCTGTTACCCTCAAAGTGAGTAGCAGTACAGGACACCTCTGCAGAGGCTTCCTGTCCTGTTCTTCTTTTCCACTAGAGGGCGCATGCGCTCACTGGACACAGGCAGGGAGAAGGAAACTGAGAGGGCCTTCCTGCAGTCCCAGGCTCACTGCCTCCTCCTCCTTTTCTCCTTTCAGGACTTGGGAAAGTGTCAGGTCTGAGACTTGAACCATATGTTCAGCCATGTGGGATCCAGCCACCAGTCTTGGTATTTTTTATAGTAAAACTCTCCGAAGTTCAGCCTGGAAGGTGGCCTGTGTCAGGGCAGAGCCTGCCTGCAGACAGAGCAAGCGGTTCGCAGCAGTAGACAGGCCCCCAGAGACCAGCTACGCGAAAGCGGTCAGAGGCGGGTCTTGGCACCGAGAGGGTGGGAGCTGAGATAGCCCGAGGGAGTGCAGGGACAGGGCACAGACACCCTCGCTGCCATGCTGGCCGGGACACGGGCTAGGGTTTCCCTAGGAATGGGAGGGACGCCTTGGTGTGCTGTCAGCAAAGGACAATGCCCCGAAAAGAGGGAAGGGGAAGGGGGACCGCACCGGGCACCGTGGCTGTGGTCTGCAGAGACCAGGGCGGGAGCCGCGCTCTCCTGGAGGCCGTAGGGGACAATGGTGGCTGGGCCCATGGGGGCAACAGGGAAGCGGGGCTGGGGTGAGGTTCTGGTTACGGTTCGGTGGAGCCAGCAGGATCTGCTGGGGCCTGGCTGCGGGTGGGAGGGGAGGGGAGGAGAATGACTCGCAGCCGGGCTGGGCCCGACTCCTCCAGTGTTCAGTCCAGCAGCCCTGTGCCCTGCGGTCCTGGTGCGGGTGCTCTTGGGACGGGGCCTCCTGCCCTGCAGCGCTCCAGCCCCCAGCTGCCAGGCCTTCTGTTCCCGGGCTGTGCTCCCTTCTGGTACGCACTCCATTAAGCGACCACCCTAAGGACTCGGGTTCCTGAGGTCCATGACAGTACACAGCTTTAGAGCCGTGCCTTTTTGGCACACAGCTAGCTCGCTGTTCAAAAGGCTTTCTTTTTTGACCCAGATTTAAAATTCTCTTAGTGGTTTTCTAACTGGGAGCTGTTTGTACACTCCCGAGTGAATCTCTAGGCCATTAGCTCCTTGCTAATATTTTATTGCATGCTTTTCTGTCAGGGGCTATGAGTAATTATAATTTAAATTTATCGTAAACTCTTTGAGACTTTTTTAAAATTTACTACAAAGGGTGCTTATGCTCAGCAGACAGACAGAGAGCGAAAGCAGCCCCAGGGGGACGGCCACACTGCAGTCCCTTTCCACTCTCCTCTCAGGACTTTGGGCATGCACATGTGTCTGCTGTCTTTTTTTTATTTTTGGAGAGGTTTTTGCTATAGGGTGTGTGCACTCGCCAGCCAAACAGCGACAGACAGAAAGCGAGAAATCACCCCCAGGGGATGGCCACGCCGCAATCCCTTCTCCTCCATTCTCCTCTCAGGATCCTGGGCACGCACGCACACACGCCCAGTGTGAGTTTAAGCCACCAGGTCCAGGACTCAGACCGTGGTCGACTACATGAGAGTCCAGTGACATAGCCATTACACCAAATGCTGGTCTCACTGCTGTGATTTCAAGCCACAGGGTCCGGCACTCGACCACGGAGTCAGCCACGTGGGATCCGAGCCTTCACCACGCACAGGCTGGCCCACACCTTATATTTCAATCACAGTCTTCATCAGATGCATTGGAGATCTGCTCCTACTTCTGTGTGCTCATTGCAGTATTATAAATCTTAAAGAATTCACCAGAAAAAAATACCTGGCCTGTTTTTGTTTTGAGGAGGGGTTCTTACCAGCTTTCCTAGTTTTTCCACGTGATCATTGAGCTCTTTAACTTACAGCTTTTTCTTAAATTGAATTGGGAAGCTCATATCATCTTGTTTATGTTTCTAAGCTCTTTAACCTAGAATCATTTAAATTTGTTTTTTGCAGTTCTTTTCTTTTGTTTTTCCTTAAGTGTTTGCTGTAGAGCATGTGCGCTCACTGGACAGAGAGGGAAAGTGTAACGTCAACCTCCCGGGTGATGGGCACACTGCAGCCCCCCCCCCCTTTCTTCTCCAGATCCTGGGCACGCACGCGCACATGCCCAGTGATTTTCAAGCCACGGGGTCTGGGTCTTGAGCCAGGGTTGGCTGTGTGGGAGCACCACCTTGCCCCTACGCCACCGCTGGCCCCTCCTGCAAGTCCTCGAATGTCCTCACTGCCTGGGGCTTAATCAAGCTGCTTCCTTCTTCCTGCTTGTCTTTGTTCCCCATTTACATTGGACTTTATTTCCTTTCATTCGAGTTCTTTTTTATTGAGAAGGTTTAGGATTACGACGTGGAACTCAGTCTAGCCGATGTCCCCGTAGGTTATTTCTTACCGGTTTTCTAAGTACATTTATTTGCTAGGTTATCTTCATTCGTGAGGCTTTTTGTTACTTTTTTCTCGTGCCTTACTGTCATAGAACTCGGTCATCTCCCGAGGTCCTGGGGCTTCCCCTGCTGCTCTTTGACATGGTGGCCTAGTGAGCAGGTGAGCTGACCGTGGGAGGGGAGAAGCGGGAGGGCGGTCAGGACGGGGTGTGTCCGTGGCCCCGAGGTGAGCGCGGAGGCAACTAGAAGCCTGCGGAAAGCAGACTTCATCTCGGGAGGGAGAGCAGAGGCTAAGGTCGCCGCCACACTTGGGTGACGTGCAGAGAGGCTTGGATCTTCTCTAGGAAGCCGAGAATATATATTTTTTTTTTGAGAGGTTTTTGCTCTAGGGCGCGTGCGCTCACCAGACAGAGAGAGACAGAAAGCGAGAAATCACCCCCCGGGGGGATGGTCACGCCACAATCCCTTCTCCTCCATTCTCCTCTTGGGATCTTGGGCACACACGCACATGCGCCCGTCCTGAGTTCTAATCCACCGGGTCTAGAACGCGAACCACGGTCGACTACGTGGGAGTCCAGCGACATAGCCATTATGCTAACGGCTGGTTCCCAGGAAGCTGAGAATATTTGACAAGAAAGATTAGCTTTTGGTTTCTGTCTTTGCCCTGGTTTTCCCCGTGGTATTTGGTAACATCGGCAATACTTGTGGTTTCCAGACATTTACTCGTTTCCTGTTATGTTTTGTTTTTTGAAGAGAGGTATTTGCTGTAGGGCATGTGCGCCCATGAGAGAGACAGGGAGAAAGTGAGAGGTCAGCCTCCGGGGAGTGGCATGCTGCAATCCCTTCTCCATTCTCCCCTCAGGATCTGGGGCACGCATGCACACACACACCTGGTGTATTTCTTTCTTTCTTTTTTTTTTTTTTTTTTTGAGAAGTTTTTGCTATAGGGCACATGCGCTCGCCAGAAAGACAGAGAGATAGAAAGCGAGAAATCACCCCCCAGGCGGGATGGCCACGCCGCAATCCCTTCTCTTCCATTGTCCTCTCGAGATCTTGGGCACACATGCACACACACCCGGCATTAGTTTAAGCCACTGGGTCCGGGACGTGAACCGCGGTCGGCTACGTGGGAGTCCAGTGACATAGCATTACGTTAACTGCTGGTCCCACACACCTGGTGTATTTCACACTGCCAAGTCTGGACTCCAACCTTGGCTGGCTGTGAGGGAGGGGAGTCCTCAGCCACTGTGCCACCTGCTGGCCCCGCGTTTCCTGCTCCTGCTCATCCTCGTAGCTGTGCCTGAGTGGCATACACATGCCATGACTCCTCCTGCCCCTTTCTCCACCCTGCAGGCTGCGGGCACTCGCTCACGTGCCCACCCTGTCAGCCCCGTGGTCCGACCCCCTGGGAACCAGGGAAGTTGCTCGCCGAGGGCCTGTGGCACCCGGAGCCACTCCAGAAAGTCGGCCTTGGTGCCCAGGGAGCACGGCTGAGTGGCACCGCCCTCCTGGCCCTGGTCCTTGGGTCCTGCTGCTCAGTGGTGGGGCAGGAAGTGCAGCAGGCCTCACTGCCCAGCCACGGCCCTCGTGGGTGCCTCTCCTGTGCCCCTCTGTAAGGTGACCAGCAGGGCTCGCACCAGGAGCTCCTGTCCCACCCGGCACGAGGGACGGTTCACACACCAAGCAGGCCGCGCATCAAAGCCAGGCTTCATGGACTCCAGGCCACGTTGTCTGGGGCGGGCATGAGAGCGGGGTGCTTTCTGCAGCCTCTGGCTAGCGCTGCGTCTCCGGTGACAGTGTCGTCTCTCTGCTAGCAAATGCCGGATGTCAACGCCAGCTGGGACGGCGAGGGCCCGAGGCCACTGCCATCTGTCGACATATCAGTGGCTGTGGCCACAGAGAGAGGTCTCATCACACCGGTCATTAGGGACGCCGCTGCCAAGGGCCTCCGGGAGATCGCCGACACTGTGAAGGTACGTCCTCAGGCAGCCCCCGCCCAGTGTGCCATGCCCGGTCATTCCTCCTCTGTGTGACCTGGCTGCCCCGGGGGACATTCGTGGGCCGTCCCCTGGGCCGCCACATGGCGACTCAGAAACAGTAGGTGAGGGGCCAATGGCATTTGAGCCCCAACCGGCGGGATCGGGATCGGAATCGGGGTTGGCCCTCACGGTGCTGTTTCCGATGGACTCGGTAGGAGGGGACGCAGAGTGAAAGTGCTTCTGTGACACAGCAGCGGACAGCCCCTGGTGCTGGCGGCCTCGTTCTTGAAGGAGTGTCTGCTCCTATTCCCTCTAGAATGGAGGGCACTTAGAGTACCGAGCTTTCAGAGACAAAACTCTTTCTTCTCATTTCTTTGCTTTTCTGTTTTTAATTGCCAGAGGGCACGTGTGTTAACCAGAGAGAGAAAACGCCCCGGGGATGTGGTCCGGCCGCAGTCCCTCCCCTCCGTGTCCCCACCCCTTCGGGATTTGGGGCACATGCGCCTGGCGTGTCTCTGATGGCCCTGGGACCAGGTTTCGGCTGGGGCCAGCCTGTGGACCCAGCTCCCTTCACCGCTGGGCCGTGAGGCCGCCGACCCTTTCTGGAATTCGGGAAGCTGCGTCCAGGGCACCAGCGTGAAGGGCTGTCACAGTGCCCCATCTTCCCTGTAAGGCAGAGGTTGCGGGCTAGCTGGCGTCCGCTGTCACTGGAGCGAGAGCCGCAGGCAGGGCTTGTCTAGGGCTGTAACTGCCTCCTGGGCCCCTGCACTGTTGGGCTGTCGGGAGAGTCGATGCAGTTGTGCATTGAAGAAAAGAGAGAAGTCCTGATTTTCCGAGCCCAGGATCAGAAGCAGCCGGGGAGCTGGTTAAACCCTGGGGCGACGGCCAAGGAGGCCGACGTGCCCTTGAGAACGCTAAAGACGTTCGAGGATCGCGTCTGAACACGGACCGCGCAGGACTCACACGGTGTGAGGGCCTGAGGAGCAGCTAGGGTCTCCACCACATGTGGGCAGGGCAGCACGCGCTGGGGGACAGCCCGGGAGGCCGGAGGTGGGAATGCGGTGGCACTGCGTGCTGCTCGGTTGGCGAGAGCGGGCTCGCCTTGCATTTGACCTTACAAGAGAAGAGTTTGAGCAGTGGTAGAGCGCTGTGACCGCAGCGCCGCTGTGGGGACTCCGGGGCAGGACGAGCTTGAAGGGAGATGGTCTTTTGGAGGCCGGGTCAGACCTAGCTCCGTGGGCTGTGCTCCATCTCACTTGCCCTCAGCGTTGCGTTAGTGACAGTCATCTGCACGCACGTTGTCACTCACGCTCCGTGTTTTCTAGGCTCTGTCGAAGAAAGCGAGAGATGGAAAGTTGTTACCTGAAGAATACCAAGGCGGATCTTTCAGGTAACAGAGGGGAGAGGTCTGGAGCAGCCTAGTCGGCAGGGGCTCAGGGCTGCGGCCCTGGGAGGAGCAGGCCCACCCCGCTGCCCACCTCCATGTGCACGGCGGCTCACGGCTCTGCCTCCTGACCAAGGCTGAGACCCAAACCTGGGGACTGGGAACCAGGAAGCCCTGGCAAGCATAAGCATTAGCTGTGAGTTTGTTTTCTTAAAAGTTTTGTGGATGCTTTTATAAACTGACCCACACTGAGGCCCACAGTGAGCACAGCTGTGGCCTCAGTGCCAGATCGCACTGGAAGTCATCACACACCTGAGCAGCGTGTGGTCGTGTGGCACACAGACACGTCACCTGGGGTGTCTGCAGCCACTTCAGAAGTCACTAGGCAGCCCGAGTGCCTCCTTACCATGTGACGCTCACGTGCGTTTGTGGGCGTCGTGTGTGATGTCCTAGCACACAAGTGCCCTGCTCGCTCACTAGCTGTGGGTTCCCCCTGTCAGGGACGTCCAGAACCCTCCCTGTTACTGCAGGAGGAGGACAGCGGGTTGTTGCCTGCTGTGTTCGCCACTGCTTTTGTTTTGTTTTCACTTGTTTTTTAATTCGCTGATGGTACGTGTGCTCGTGGGTGGGGGCCCAGCAGGGTGTGCTCACACCACAACCTCTCCTCCGTGTCTCCATCCTGTCGGCATTTGGGACAGGCGTGCACACACACGTGTCCGGCTTATTTGTCAAGCCGTCAGGTCTGGGGCCCTGTGGAATCTGGCTTCTCTAACCACCGGGCACTGGCTGGCCCACCCCGCTGTGCTTTCTGACTGGGAGTCCTTCTGCAGCTTCTCCAGCCCCTCGGTCCCCACACAGGAGGGAGAGCTTTTTTGCGTTCCCGCCCCCCCTTCTGTGCCTGCCGTGTCCCACGTCACCTGGGGACCTCCAGGCTCGCCACCATTGACCACGCATGACGGGCACTCCTCCTTGCCGAGCCGTAGTCCAGTTTGCACAAGCTGCACACGCGCAGGCTACGTTCCGTAGAATTTAAACCCCGTTATCGGTAGCGTCAGACAGGTTCATAGACTTCCGAAGGCCATGGTAACGCGTTTTCCTTATAAGCCTCAAATATCTTACAGCTAGTAGACAGACAGCACTGCCAGATGGACACCGCAGAGTAGGTGACGGGCCCTGCGGCCGGCCCGGGCTTTCACAGCAGGCCCTGGGGTCGCCTCGTGCCTTCTCTCCACCGGCCGTGTGCTCGCTGTTCATGTTTAAACACGAGAGAGACCGAGCTTTGGACCCCGGCCGCCCCTTCCTCCTGGCTGCCCCTCCTGTTATCGCAGCTCGTGTTTAGGTGTGAGTTCCGTCCGGTTCCGGCACTGAGCTGACAGAACTGCGCTGGGGAAGACGCCTGTGTGAGCCCCGCAGAGGCTGGAGTGGGGCAGCGCCCAGGACCCTCCTCTGCTCTCTAGCCGCTCTCCCACGGGCAGCACCCATTCCGAAGGCAGCCTGCGGCCCTGCTTGGCCGCCCTGTCTCTGTAAATGGTGTCCAGGGGTGCCCACGCTGCTCGTGGGCCGGCCTTGTTACCTTCAGGCCCCGCAGCCTGCCCGGGAGCATGCCTCGCTGCCCTGCTGTGTGCAGCGCCTCCAGTTGGCTGCGTCACAGACTGGGCCGTGAACTGGTCGGGTCTTGGTTTGCTCGTTTTTGTTGTGTATGCTTAGTTAAAACCTGTAGGGGCCAGACAGTTTTCTAAAGTGGTAGTACGAATTCACACTCCGGGATTCCCATTCTCCACAGGCGTGGCCACGCTAGTTTTACTTGTGCGGTTGTAAACTTCGGTGACCTCGGGGGGGAGGGTGGGGTGCACGGTCTGCGGCCAAGGTCTGCGGGCTGGTGGCTCGGAGTGCTTCCTCACTTACCTGGGCATCAGGAGCTCCTGGACGGTCTAGCTGGCCTCCCGTCAATGGGAGTGTGTTGGAGACGGCCCGCACCTCCAAGTGGTACGGAGATGGTTGCCCTCCCCTCCGGGCGTCAGGGTGATAATCGCCCACATCCCCAGGCGTCGGGGCCATGGGTCTCCCCCCTCCGGGCGTCGGGGCCATCGGTCTTCCCCCTCTGGGTGTCGGGGCCATCGCGGTCACCCTCATCTCCGTCCCCCCAGGTCCTTTTCTCCACGCAGCAGCTTGGCTTGGGGACCCTCTTGGAGATGTTTGCCTTTTCTGGCTCTTCGCACTTACAAATAAATTTGGACCAGTCTGTCCTCTTGCACACACTCCACAGACATCCTGGCTAGGTTTTGACTGAGGTCGTGTCAGCCTCCAGTGCGGGGCCTCCCCGGCGCCGGGCAGCTGTGGTTTACTCCGCCCTTAGATCTCTTGCATTTCTATTGTGTGTTTTAAAATATCTTTATATTTCCTTTTCTAATTATGACCACTTGTGTGGAGATATAAAGTGAATTTTTAATTCTACCTTGGATGCCTTAACTGAATTCCCTTTCTGTGTGTTTGTTTTTGCTGTAGGGCTTGTGTGCTCACAGAGAAAGACAGGGCGCGGGGAGTGAGAAACCATCGCCCGGGGGATGGCCACACCACAGTCCCTTCCCCCTCGGTCTCCTCTTGGGGTTTTGGGCCCACACCTGGTGATTTTCAGGTCACCGTGTCTGGGGCTCAAGCTGCAGACGTGGCCATGTGGGATCCAGCACCCGAACTGCTACCCGCTGGCCCCCGAGTTCATGTTTTACTCTTCCTAGCCCACCTCGTGCCCAGTCAGATCGCTCCACCTACGTACTCGGGACTAGTCAGTTCTCCCTGTCCAGTGCTTGGGGCTCGCAGCTCCTTTTCCCGCTGTGCCCCGCTGCTGGGACCCCATCCAGTGCTCAGCAGGTGCAGACCCGGCCGCTGCCTCTCGCAGGCCCCTGCCTGGGCCGCCGTGCCGGAGGCCACACCCCTCAGTGCTCTCTGTCTCCCCAGCGTCTCCAACCTGGGCATGCTCGGCGTGGACGAGTTCACCGCGGTGATCAACCCCCCGCAGGCCTGCATCCTGGCCGTCGGCAGGTCGCGCCCCGTGCTGAGGCTCGCGGAGGACGAGGAGGGCAATGCCCAGCTGCGGCGGCACCATCTCGTCACCGTCACCTTGTCAAGCGACAGTCGAGTGGTCGACGACCAACTGGCCACCAGGTTTCTCGAAAGTTTCAAAGCAAATCTGGAGAACCCCCTCCTCCTCGCCTAGAGCTCGAAGTGGTCGGGTCTGCAGCTTCGGGGCCAGCACGGGTGGCCTGGAGCGGCTCACGCTGGGGAGGCCACCGGGGCTGTCCTGTAAGTGGGCGGAACGCCTGTGTCTACGGCGAAGGCATTTGCCTGAGTTGTCTTCGTTTTCGGTTTGGTTTAACGTTAGAGGGAGAAATTAAGCTAAGCTGGAACTAATAAAGAGCCCTCAGGGTGGTCAGACCACGCCTGACCGCTGGTGCTATGCAGTAGGCTGTGAAGCTAGCTGTAAGTCAGACTCTGGCTCCTCCCAGCTTTTTCGGTTATTTGGGAATGTATATACATTGTAAAATAAAAAAATGCCGTGACTCTGTCTTACTCGTGCTGAAATTAGAAGTGGTCTTCAGAGGTGCCCGTTAACTCAGCGGTGGAATCTCACGTTCCCACGCCGCCCGAGAGACATGTGGCCGAGCTCTGTACGTGGGGCACTCCGGTGCCGGGAGCGCCAGGGCACGCTGTGTGGCCGGGCAGCACGGCCGCTTCCACCTGAGTGAGCCATGGGTCAGGGCGGCTCCTCCCGGCTTACTCCTGTGACACTGAACACGCTGTGAGGCCGTGCAGCACGGCCACTTCCACGTGAGTGAGCCATGGGTCAGGGCGGTTCCTCCCGGCTTACTCCTGTGACACTGAACACGCTGTGTGGCCGCGCAGCACGGCCGCTTCCACGTGGGTGAGCACGGGCCAGGGTGGCTCCTCCCGGCTTACTCCTGTGACCCTGAACTCCTGGAGAGGAGGAGTGAAAGGCATGAGTGAGAGCCGGAGGTGAACACGGACTCAGAGGGCGCTCGACTCAGGCAGCCCTCCTGCATGGGCTGGCAGGGCGGCCACCTCACGCTGGTCACTCGGTAGGTCTCGTGCTCTCTGACACGTTTCATTGGCGTGCTCCTGTGGACACGGAATGTCCAGGTGCGCTTTAGTTACCGAGCTGCACCGTGAAAGGCACGGAAGCAGACACGCTCGCCTTGTGTTCTCAGGGCTAGGACAGGTCGAGTGGCCCTTGGAGACGAGTCCCTTCTGTGGCAGGTCCGAGGAGGACCCCACAGAGAGGACAGAATGTAAGTCCATGTGGCCCTAGGACGGTAACCGGGAGGGGACGTGGAACTGGGTGCGACCGACCCTCCCCGGGGCCTGCCCTGGCGGGGGCGATGGCGGGCGGAGGAGAGCGGTGGCTGGCGTGCTCACCAGAACAAAGACGGCGTGGCTCGGGTGTGGTGCGACGGGCGCCTGCTCGGGTCCCACAGAGGGGCCTTCCACAGTCAAGAGCGCTCAGTGCGCCAGTCGTAAAGAAAATGTGTAATCCGGTTACTGAGCTTTCAAAGGGCATTTAAAAATAACCTCAAACTTTTGTCATTTTAACTGTTACACTGAAAATTGTAACCTAATGCTACTCAAAAAAATCACTTCTATAAGCTGTGTTATTTTTAAGGTCATTTTGGACAGAAATACCGCATTTTTTTTCTAATTTTCACACCTGAGAGAGGACAGGGACAGACGTGGGCTGGGTTCCCGTTTCTGTGGCCCCTTTGTCCATCGGGAAATGGGCGCCGCCCCCGTCCCCCCTCACGGGGCTGCATGAAGCACACGGAGAAAAGGCCATGGCCGAACTGCGTGGACGCCACAGCCGGGCTCCTCACTCGGGCTCGAGCAGCCGCTTTGCATTTTGGGGCACCAGCGCGCCCCCACTCCGACCTCCGAAGGAGACATTGTCCTCGGCGTTTATGGGGACCGTGTCCAGGGACATTGCTTCCTGAAAGACCCTTTTGTGGCATGAGATCGGAGATCACACTGGGACCGGCGGGGAGCATTTCTGCCTCGTGCTGAGGGTCGGAGGCAGGTCTGGGCCTGGCGTCTTCGTTCTCACGTAGTCGGGGAAGTGACTGGCACGTGGGAATCCCACGGGGAAGGCAGCGCTCGCTCCGGGTCACGTGGCGGCAGCATGGCACAGGTGTCAGGGTTTGGAGCAGGAGGCGCTGCCCCTCCCGTTGGCTTCTGGTTGGACTGAGGGGCCCGCCGTGCTCCCCAGTCTGGCTTACAGTGTCCCAGAACCCAGGTGCCCTGCAGCGGTCTCCGCTCCCTTCCTGTGCTCTGAGCCCTGTGCAGACCCAGCACTCCCCTTCCCGGGAGCAGGGGAGCAGGGGAGGGCAGGGCAGTGGTGCCCGCAGGCCTGCTCTGGAGGAAAGTGTACCCTCGGCTCCCTGCTGGCAGGCAGGGCTCAGAGGAGACAGCCAGGAGAGGCCGAGCATTTCCCTGCAGTGTTGGTGGGAAGCTGGTTTTGACCCGGGGAGTGCGAGTTCCCGGAGGACACCTGGCCAGGGTCAGGCGGGGGGGGCAGTCAGGCAGCTGGCGTTCGCTGATGTGAAAGCGCGTGGAGGGGACCCCGCACAAGCCCAGGCCTTCAGAAAAGGGGACCTGGGGCCCCGGGTGTCGGCTGCCGCGTGTGAACGCTCGGGGTCTCAGCCCGGCGGCCGTGTGTCTCTGGGGATGTTGACCTCTCAAACGGAAAGAGCAGCAGCCTCCCCCTGAAGTGACTGTAAATCGCTGCGTGACTTCCTGCTGTTTCCCGCATCTCTGCTGCTCTCGGGAGGTGAGGGCAGGCACACACGGACGGTGTGTCCGCCTGGACGTGCAGCAGCGGGCACGCTGCTGTTGAAATTTCGAGGCTTAAAGATGTGTTTTGAGAGTTGTTTCTTCTTTATGAAGGGAGCGTGTGTGTTTGAGAGGCCTGTGGCAGGTCTCACACTGACACCGCTGCTGCCCGGTCCTACGGCTCCCTGGGGTCCTGGGGTTGGGCGCCTGATGGGTTTTCAATCCGACCCAGGGTTCCGAACCCACGTGGGCCCTGTGGCTCCCAGGGCAGCTGTCACAGCAGCTGGGACAGGGCCCTTGGCCTCCTGGTAGCAGTCTTTGTCTCTCTGACCACGAGAAGTTTACTCCGCATTTTTCTGCCCACCTGTGTCTACAGCCCGTGCGAGCAGCCCTTTCCTTCCTAGGACAGAGCGCTTGTGCACTCGGAGCCCTGGGGCCGCGCACTGGCGAACGCCACGCTCTGGGAGGCTGACAGACACGGGAGGGTCCCGGCTTCTCGTCTGGGGACCTCCCTGAGTGTGCTGGGTCCCCCTGTCTCATGGAAGAAGTCAGTGGAGTAAATGAACACACTTTCTCAAGTCGATAAAGCCACAGAGTCAGTTACGATTTTCCTTCACTCCTAAGACAGTGCGTCTCCCGGTTTCTCCGTTTATGAAATTCAGTGAGGCACATTATTTGGAGGTTGGGGTATTGTGGTGATGGAGTAGCCTAGAGCAGCCTCTGAAGCTGAAATGTCACCACCGTACGGATTCGCTCGGTGACACACTCCGCGCCCCCCCACCCCGGGCCGGCTCGCGGGTCTGCCCAATGGGAGTCATGTCATTAGAAGCTCAGGGGGACACTTGGTAAGTGACCGTCCTGCCGACAGCAGTCACCGGTGCGGACACCGTTCTCCACTTGTGCACGCAGACCAATCAGGCGTGCCTTCAGCAGAGTGTCAGGGTCACCGTTCAGTCACTGCTGTTGCCAAGCCTTCTCCCTGAGCCTCCGCCTTCCCACCCATAAAGTGGGTTAGTAGAGGGTTAAGCAGTGCCGTGCCTGTGGGTCTGTCCTCAACCCCAGTCCCCGAGTCACTGAAAGTTACGTCAGGTGGCTCCTGCCTCCTGCCCGAACTGTGGTGCCGTGCTGTGCTTCCGAGATGACCGAGCTCTGCCGCGCTCAGAAGTGCCCAAGTGGGGACTCGAACCCAGGTCTGGGCAGCGCCAGTGCCTCTGCTCCCCGTACTGCACTATACAACCTGCCTTGGCGCTCGGTAGAGACGGAGAGGGGAGGCCTCCCAAGGCATGGGCCCCTGCAGTGCCTCCTCCACGCCTCCATCCCGGGCGCTTTGCACGTATACACACATGCGGCTGCGGGCCGGCCAGCATGTCGGCACACAGCTTCATTCCATGACGATGAGGCGTCGGTGCACTAGCGAGAGCCCTGACTGTCTGGTGCCGACGAGAGCGCCGTGCGCGTTCCAGGCGCTCCCCTCACACGGGGAAGGTGTGCTGGAGCTCGCAGGTGATCGGAGCGGACGGGCACGCCTCACAGGAGTCGCAGTTCCCGAGCGTGACCGGAGGGCTCACGGTGAGCCACTGTTCTAGAGAAGGCTCGGGTCACCCTTGTAGGCCGAGGACACGTGTGAACCCGCAGCTCGGGCAGAGTGAGTTCGTGTTTAGGGCCGTGTGGGCTTCTGTGTATTTTCTTGTTTCCCGAATGAGTCACTGAACTACGGAAAATTTTGAGAGGAAGAACTTTGGAAAGTCTTTTTTTAAAAAGGTAAACTAAACGTAGATTTTTTAAAATAGCATTTTACTTGGAAACCGTGGGCCTTTAATTTCTAGGTGGAGATGCCGTCTTTCCAGGTACCTGACCCCCCCCCCCCCCTTCCGCCTAGGTGGGGCGCGGCTTTCCT